TGCACCAGGGGAGGTTCAGGTTGGATATTGTGAGAAACTTCTGGCTGCCCAGAGAAGTGGTGAAGTCACTGTTCCTGTTTAAGAAACATACACATGGTGCTTAGAGACATGATTAGTGGGCGTGGCGGTGATGGGTTGATGGTAGGACTAGATTATCTTAGTGGCCTTTTCCAGCCCTAATGATTCTATGAGTCTATGAAAAGGTATCATGGCAGAGTGCCATGGGCCTCATTTCTGGTCTTCTTTGCAGTGTGTGGAGTTTGAACTGCTTGAGTGTGGGTAAGCCCTGGTAGAACATGTAGTAAATTTATTTACTCTGTAATCACTGAGCAAATAAGATGTATTTATTCATAAATCAGGTAGTTTGATCTAGGCAGCTAAGTGTAAGAGAATATCGGAGGGAAATGTTACTGACTATATTTTTTCTATGCCCTTGGGTTTGTCTTTTTCACGGAGTCACAGAATGTTTAAGATTGGAAGGGAACTCTGGAGGTCATCTGGTCCAACCACCTGCTCAGCAAGAATGGACACCCAGAGTGGGGCCACCTAGAGCACATCAGTTGTTTTGTTGTTTTATTTTTTCATTCTTAAGGGTACCTAGTTGTGAATATTAACATATTTTTCAGTTGTTTTTAATAGACAATGATATATAGCTCCTCCCTCTTCAATGTGTTAGCTTCCATCTGGAAAGAATATGATGTTCCTTAGAAATGAACAGCAGAGTTTAATCTTCTGGCATTCTGTCAACACCCTACAAAAGAGTATTTTTGAAATCATTTGTTATGTTGAGCAGTAACAGTTCTGAAGTGTCAAAAGTTTCCTTTTCTAATTCTATGGCTAATTCTTATAAGTGCTTTTCTGAACCAATACTTGCATTACTCTTTCTCAAACCCACCCAAGTACAGGTAATATAAGAACATCTTGCTCATCTTTTCTGTCCTTCAATCTTGTACTGCCATTCAGAATATAAGAGGATAACCTAGTGCTGCGAATTAACTAGGATGAAATGCACAACTCACAGTTAGCAAAACTGACTAGTATAGTTAGTGAGGAATTGTTCTGCTGTTGTGAAATAAATGCTCCTAGATACTAGAACGGTTAATTTCAGGTCTCAATACCTCTTTACATACTGAAAGCTATTTCATGATTTTATTTTAGTCTTCCAGGATTCTTTTTTTCCTAACACACTGACAATGTCCCTAAGTCTCCTCAGACAATGTATATATATTAGATACACCAGAATTTTTCACAACCAGGAAAATGGTATCAGTTGTTGCAGGTTTAACTACAGTGCTAAACTCAAGTCTTACCAAACTACAGGGGGTATTTGTTTTGTCTTAATAAGGAGAATTGTCTGTTTCTTCAAGTTGTATACAAAAATGACAGTAACCTGGCACCTGCAGCATTCTTTCAGTGCTTTGGTGTCTGGATGCTTGTTAAGCAGCTAATTTGCAAACAAGAAAGCCTAAACTCAGAGTGGTTAAGAAAGATTCTCCAGACAAAAATGTTCCCAAACACAGAACAAAACAATTCAGCCTGTGTCTCATTCCCTAAGCCATGTTTTTTCCAACCTACGTTAATTTTCAATTTTGTGAAATTTAACACTGGTTTTTAGTTATTAATTTCAGAATGAGAATTAAGAAGCAAGCATCCTCAAAGTGACTTGAATCCTGCACACATTTTATTATCAATGTCTTAATTATTTCTGTATCTTTTCTTCTGTAGACACTGACTATAGTCAAAATATCAGTCACCAGATAAACACAGATAATAAAATAAAATAAACTGTTGCTTTTACTGTTAGCATATGTAGCAGGAACAGCTTCAACTTTTGGTATTCTCTTTATCTGACAATACTTTTTCCTCGTTTTCATTATGCAGTGAATGCTTGTATTAATTGTGATGGCATTCTAACAAGAGCTTAGTCCAGTTTTTTTTCCTATTTTTTTTTTTATCTCTGTCACCCTAAAAAAGGATCCCAAGTAGGAAAAGAAATACTTTTTTTTAATTTTAATACTACAGAATTCTGTGTACAAATCCAATGCTAAAATGTCTGTTTGTCTAAAATATATGCTTGTGTTAACGAACATTACGTATCTTATATGTACATCTCTAAAACTGTGCACATCTGCTAATAAACAAGTGTATGATAGTGAATACACTTACACAATTCTCTTCTTTAAAATAATTTTAATCTTGGATTTTTGGATTTAATATCATAAAATACAATAGCTCTTACTTAAAAAATATTGTCTGGGAAAGAAAGAATGCCTGCAATGAACACAGATTTTTCCATCTGCTGAGAATTGTCTCAGACTTTACAATGAGGTGGATCTGACACTGAGATTTCTCATATCTTTGAAAAGTTTCATTTACTTCTGCTGATGTCTTCTTACTATTAAAAAAAAAAAAAAATTAATTCATTACATCCATAACGAATTTTCCACTACTATCAGACTGAAATGGCTGTATATCTCTTTACTTCCTTTATTTCTCTCAGTCTCTCACAATTTGAAAAATTGTTATTTGACCCCATAGCAAAGCCTTGGACCTAAAATAAATGATCCACCATCTTTCTCCTCTGTTTAAATCATTTATATAATCACCATTTATATTAATGTTAACACAGGCTTTTTATATGAATTTAAGCTTTTGCTCATATTTTGCTGAATTTGTTCTAAAAGTTCCCCTGGAAACCTCTCTAGAAAATTTTCTCTTTCTCACTCTATTAAATGCTGAGCTCCTTGCAAATAACTTTTTTCACAAATGGACCTGGAAAGACACGAACACTCAAGGACCATGAGTTCTCCCTTCTACAGAAATTTGTTTTTCAGGAAATCCATGCTGAGAACAGGCTCTGATTTGACTGCTTGGAATATATTCGCAGTACGATAGTGCTATATATTATGGCTTCTGTTCTGAAGTTGACAGGCACTTGGAGGACTGAAGTTTATTTCTACAGAACTAATGAAAGGAGCAAAAAAAAAAAAAAAAAAAATCATATTAGTTGTTTTTTAGTGTTTTATCTCCACTGATGATCAGATATTTTTGAACCTGAAACTGAACTGAAAAGCATGAGCAGTATATACTTAATACACAGCTACAGTTAGTTTATGTAGTATAGTAATAATTAGTATATAAATATGCTGCAGTGTACTAGTAGTTATATTTGTGTTAACTGTAAGTAGGAGGCAGCAGTGAGACACTTCTGACAAAAGAAAGGATCTTGTGATACCTAATGCATGGTGCAGCAGAAATTATCCCTGAATATTCCATTCCTCTATACTACTCTGAAACCATTCAGTGTACAGATCTCTTTGTCTTGCATGTGTTCTTTTGTTGATATGGGAATCACGTTGATATTTTTCAACAATAAACAACCAGATGAGCTTAAAAAAAAAAAAAAAAAAAAAGCTGCAAAATGACATATATGTTGTAATAGCCCAGAACCCCGATTTCATACCAATTCTCTTTTTCTTTCTGATCCATTCCATCTGTTTACAGAATAAAAAAGTTTCACAACATAGTGCCAGAATTTGAGTCCATTGTCACAGACGTGTGCACACAGTGACAGACCCAACTGTTATTAAAGGTCCCGTGACTGTGTGACCCTTTGAGCTAAATTTATCACAGATGCTTTTTCCACCCTTTGAGGTTAACTTTTATGATTCTGCCGAACTCTTACAAAAGCTCCTGTGTTAACCAGTAGATGGTATTTGAAAGATGGATGCCAAAAAACATGAAGAACAGAGTGCTTAGCATGAAACCTTATTAACATTCCTTCTGCTGCTGTGGAGCACTTTGTGTGCAGATGACTAGCACAAGCCTCCAGGGCAGTTAGGATCTTTCCTGTTGATATACAGTGTAGTTTGTAAATGCATTTTATTGTACTGCTAGAAAGTGCAAAGGTTCCAGAGAGCTTTACACATTTTACACACATTTTTGTTTGATGAATGGTTTGATATGTTAATGCAGGACCTGTTCATCATGTTTTCCTTCTATTTGTCAAGTCTATGTACATTTTCAGAGTGAAATTTTTACTGCTTTCTTTCATTATTAATCAAGCTGCACTACTGTAGAAAGTAATACGCTTCAGAACTTCTTAACACTTTACAAAGGAATGGCTATTATGCATGTAACCACTTGTTGAACAATAACTCTGCTCTTTCAATTAAAAAATATACATATAACATAGGATAAAGGAAATTCAAAATGTATATTTTGTCTGCTCACTGCTTAGTTCTCTGCATGTTCATTTTTTCTCTTTTACCACTGAAATTGTCAAATTACAATGATATTTCCTCTAAGGAAGTAACTCTCAAGCCTCTATGGTAAGTTTTTGTCTAGATATTAAAAATGCAAGCTTGGCCATTTGTAATGCATAACTATTAATGTACTTACTATAACAGGAAAATATCTCTTTCTGCAGTACAGGAGAGAGTTCTTCAACCAGGCTGTTTTGTCCTTCACCAGTTATTAACAGTAGCTGTTTGTATGTGTGTTTGACTTTAACAGTCACGAAGGAATTTTATTTTTACTGAACTTCCCCCCCAGTGTTTTGAATTTCTTTCAGAGACAGAATGCTTTCTGGTTTGTGAAGTTAAACAACAGTACTTACACAGTATATAGTAGAGGCAAGGGTTAGCAGGAAAAGAAAGGGAAGAATTATACTTTTAGGTAAGACTTTTAGTTAACTTGGAATGGAAGATCTTTGTTTCTTTCTTTACTCCACAGAGATTAATTTATCTAGCAAGTCTCCAAATGGAAATTCCCTGCAAGCTCACAAGCATTACTGTACCTTACATTCGTCTTTTCCTTTCGTTCTTTGTCCATCAACATTGTTCTTTTTTTTTTTTTTTTTTTTTTTTTTGAATGTGATTGACCTTTAAACCTGTTGTTATCAGCCTGCAAGAAAGAGATAGAGACTCTTTTCAGCTGCCTTGTTTCCCATGTGACCTACAGGGAGAATAGATTCAAAATAGACTAGTTCCTCCCAGGGCAATACAAGGCAGAAGAGAAAAGCACTGTCATTTCCGAACAGCACAGTGCTAGAGTAAATTCAGTGTGAAAAAGGAAGGAGTTGCAGCGTGTCAGAATTCTTCCTCTGGAGCCGGGATTATTACAGGAAAAGCATGTGAAGGATTTTTAAGGAGAGAATTTTAAAAAACTCTTTGAAATGGAGTACTTGGAGCATTATAAGGACAACTGATGTTTGAATGCTAGAAAGACTGGAGGAATTTTTCCAAAATGAGCATTGTTATGAAGCCAAGATCCCGGTCTACCAGCTCCTTAAGGACTGTCGAGGCAATGTGGTAACGTGTTTGGCTTTTTTTCTTTCAAGTTTCCTTTCCTAATATGGGGACACAGACCTGCCCCAGGAAATTCACAGGGTTTGATTTTGATCTGATAGATTTTGCACGGTTATCAAAGTTGTTCAGCTATTTCACAGTTAATAGTAAGAAAAAAAAAAAAAAAGTAGTTTCTTTGTACAATACTGCATGCGTAGTATTTTTTAATGAGAAGAGTTTTGCGTAGGTTTTTCCCATTTAGTAATCAGGTTCAGACCTTGCACTTACAAACACTTTCTAAAAATCTTCGGTAATCTTCAGCAGCAAAGTTATTACAGTCAGCTTGCAGTTCTGGAGGCTGGAAAGCAGAACTAAGCTATAGTTTGCATGAGCTATTTTGAGAACCTTACATGTCATTTTGCTGCATAAATAGACCAACTGGTAGAGATAAGTGTCCTGGGAGGAGACAGTGGCATGAGTGAGAAACTGTGCTGTGTTATGGCTCACACATTTCCCTGCACTCTCTGCACAGAGGCTCGGTGGAGTAAAGCAGATTGTAATAGTGATCTGTGTGTGTGATTTTCTTGCTATTGGTTTCAGTTACCAATTGTCTTTAAGGAGATTTTCCTGAGGGACTTTATGCTTTGTATAGCTTAGCAAGGGCAGACGGGACAATTTTTTATGAGGTATGTCCTGGTTTTATGATTTTTGGTTATAGGTATTCCCCATCATATAAAATATATATAAAATAAATTCAATTTTCTCTTTCAGTATCTCCCACATTTTTTTTTCTTGACCTTTTTTTTTTTAATAAAGTCATTGTCATTTTTGTAAAAAAATAGCAGACTAATTGTTCATTACTTCATAACTGCTACAAAACAATATTTTAAAATACAGCCTTTGTTTAGACATGTGTCCCATGTGTTACTGTGGGATAGAACAGTAACTACATTCCTTTCTGAGCAAATATACTAAGTTAACATATTTTAAAATTAGCTCTTAGAGCATTATATTTCAGAGAGTCCTGAAATTAAATCATTCCAGTACTGTTGTTAAAGCTGGTAACTTTTTCCAAGCTGTTTTTTAACTGAAAACGTGTTTCAGCAAAAGAAAATGAAGCAACTGTAGTACTCCAGCTAAAGAATGCTCCCAGTTGTTCTCAGAAGCTGCTAAGGAAGTGTTCTGCTGAAGCAAATGCAATAAAAAGTGTTTCCTTATCTTTATTAAAATGTAGTAAAGTAATAATAAAATGTCAGTGAACTGGATATGACTAAAGCATTACGCTGTGCCACCACATAAAACAATTGTGTCTGGAAGTGTCACAATAAACTGTGTGTATCCAAGGTAGTGAGCTAAACTCTACGTACCATAATTATTACGTAAAGATAATGCAAATGAATCACTATCTTCCTGATTAACTTATCTTCCTTTCAATTACATCTTTTTTTGACTGCTGACTGCTTCTATTGAGTTGTGCAGGGAAAGAAAAACAAAATTCTTTCAAAAGGAAAAAGAAAAGTCTCTTGTGCTGTATGTGCAGGCTAGTATGACCACCAGGTACTGTCTGAAATAGCTGCCCGTGTCCTTTTTTGCCAACGCCTTTAGCTAGCGCATTGATCTGGTGGGTGAGAATCCATTTTCTACTAACTGTGAATTGAGTGTCATTTCCTACCCTGCCATTTGGAAACATTACCTGAGGTCAGGACGTGTCTGAGAGGGAGATTCTTGAATCTGTCTGGATGAGGTACATACTGTTCTCTGGTGGCATGCGACTGAGCAAGGCAGGCCCTGCCTGCGTGGAGGACTGGAGGAGGAGCAGGTGGGGAAGGAGGGAGGGAGCCAGTAGCCCCTCCAGAGCCTCCTTGTGAGGAGCCAGCTGGTGGGCTGCACAGTAGTGGTCTCCAGCCACTTGCTGGCTTCAGCCTGGGGTTTCTGATCACCAGACCTGAGAGTCTATGAGTTTAGTTCTGTGGATCGTGCCATTCCCAGTGTGTGATAGGACAGAATACCAATAAAATTGTAACAGTCTCACCATAATATTAAAACAAAATGCTTAGGTGCAGTTAGTGTGATAAAGGCAGCAATGCTGGTGGACATTCAGGGTGGGAGGCAAGGAGGGCTGCAGCACATAATTCTCCTTATCTGCTAACATAGCAGGAGGAACCAGGATAAGGAGAAATGGAAGACTGCAAAAAGAAATAAAAATTGCAGTGGTTTTTTTGGAGCATAGGAATGAGTCGCAGTGTTGTACTATGAATATCCATCTTGGAATGGTTTGAGAGAAATGATCCTGGGATATTCATACATGGCAGTTTCCCATTTGAATAATGCTCCCCTGAAGAACAGAATCCAGGCTCCCAACATGCCTGTAAACCAGAGAGAGGATGGATGAAAGAGAATTCTCTATTCTCAATTCCCTGAAATCATACTGACCCTCCATCCAGAGCAAGAGAAGAACATTACCGTATATGGTAAAAACATATACTTTTCGGTATTAATATTTAAAAGCATCCAGAGGGTATCACCCACTATTAGTGGGTACACCAGCCTGCTCCAAGGAGGCTGTGCTGATGTTCCACTGCAGGGTCTACAGACAAACATGCATCTAAGACACCAGGGGAAACTTCACCGAGCACCGTAATGACAGAAGTAAATGTAGACGAATAATGATATAATAATAATTCATTTAAGAACGATTACTTAATAATTTAATATGGCTTTAGTAGCACTGATTTCTGACTTCAAGATGCAGTTGTGAAGTGCAATTGTGAATGAGAACATTCGGGAATAACAGTCTAAAACCAGTAAGTGGTGGTACAGACTTCTCAGTGGCAGAAGTTGGATTTATCTTGTTGCTCCTGAGAAGAAATAACAACATAGTGTGGAAATTCACATTAATGTAAAACCTTAGGGGACAGTATTAGATAAGTATTTAACAGCGTTTTCTTGACTATTTAACACTGCAGAGTGTAGGAGGTGTAGAATGACCATGTGTTCCACCAAAACACATATTTTACTTTCTAAGGTTTTTTTTTTTTATTTTTTGTTGCTTAGATTTCTTTGGTGATATTTTTTTGTGCATAAATATTCATTTGGAGGAACTGAAATATGCTTTTGAAAACCTAAGAAAATCAAGCAAGTCAACTAAGTAGCCAGGGGATCTGGACAGAAGCATATTGACCAGATATTAGAACTTCTCTACTTTTTCATTATATAGGTAATTAGTAAAAAAGATCTAAGAAGTATCAGTAATATTGTCAGCTTTTACCACAGTTCTTTCTGCAACATACCTGTTGCTTCTGGATTGGTAGTTATCTGTTTACTTTGTGAGTTAGCCTTTCTCTGTCCTTACTTTTTATAACATATGCTAATTCATGCTTTCCTGGTTTTTGGATCTTACGGTTGCCTGATCTGCAAAAGGCACATACCAGCCTCTCTTCCACCCTCAGAGCAGAGGCATGTGGTGATTCAGTTTGTGGTAATCTACAGAACATTATATATGGTCTTATTTAACCCAGTGGGTGGGTAGCACTGTTTGTCTGTGATATCAGGAAGTTTAGAAGACTGGGAATTGCTGAAGGTTGTTGGAGGAAGCTTCTCAGGCTACAACATGGAACAAAACATTTTGAATGAGCTTTTCCTGCTTGTACCTTTATGTCAGAGGTTCCAATAAAAGTTCTATCTAATGGAGATCAGAATATACTTGTGGCTTGACACCAGTGGACAGTGTTGTTTCTGGGGCAAAGAAACTACCACAGAATAATGAGATCCATCAATGCTGACCTGAGCTAGCCACAGTGGCTTCCCAGCCTGAACATGGCACAAAATTAGACCTTGCCATGGGCTTATCCCAGTCTTTTGACATGAAGAGGGGGTTATTCTATCATGCTGTCTAGCCTCAAATAGTTTAAATCCGTAGTTATTGCTATCTGCTCATTGCTAGTATAAAGTTGATATTAGTCATAGAATTATAGAATTGCTCAGATTGGAAAAGACCTTCAAGATCATTGAGTCCAACCATGACCTAACCATTCTACCCTAATTCTAAAATCCCTCTGCTAAATCATGTCCCTGAGCACCACATCCAAATGGTTTTTAAACACATCCAGGGATGGTGACTCAACCACCTCACTGGGGAGCCTATTCCAGTGCTTAACAACCCTTTCTGTACAGAAGTTTTTTGTGATATCCAACCTAAACTTCCCCTGGTGCAACTTGAGGCCATTTCCCCTCATCCTGTCACCAGTGAGAAGATACCAGCCCCACTCTTGCTGTAAGCACCCTTTCAGATATTGGAAGAGAGCAATAAGGTCTTTCCTCAGCCTCCTTTTCCCCATACTAAACAGCCACAGTTCCTTCAGTTTCTGCTTGTAGGGCATACTCTCCAGGTCCTACAGAAGTCTTGTTGCCCTTCTTTGGACCTGCTCCAGCACCTCAATGTCCTTTCTGTATTGAGGTGCCCAAAACTGAACACGGTACTTGAGGTGAGGCCTCACCAGTGCCGAGTACAGGGGCAGGATTACTTCCCTAGTCCTGCTCTCCACACCATTCCTGATACAAGCCAGGATGCCATTGGCCTTCTTGGCCACCTGAGCACACTTCTGGCTTATACTCAGCATCAGTCCATCAGTCTATCAGTACACCAAGATCCCTTTCCATCAGGCAGCTTGCCAGCAACTCCTCCCCAAGACTGTAGGGTTGCCTGGGGTTGTTGTGACCAAAATGCAGGACCCGACACTTGGCCCTATTGAAACTCATACAGTTTACCTTGGCTAATTGATCCAGTCTATACAGGTCCCTCTGCAGGGCCTTTCTCCCCTCTGGCAGATCAACACTCCCTCCCAACTTGGTTGGCATTGGGCTTCTGTAATTACTGACTTTCAGACTGGCAATCCCAGTTTTGTGAAGATCAACAGTAAAGACAGGATATTCCTGAAGGAGTATTTCTCTATAGGACAGAGAACAGTATATAAATGTTACTGTGAATTATACTAGCAGCATGTGCATCGTTAGGATGTTGAAGA